TCTGATCAGCAAGGTCCTGGAGAAAATAAAGACTGACAAAGCCAGGGTCCTCCTCGTTTCCCTGGTGTGGCACAGTCAACACTGGTACGGGACCCTCTTGGGGCTGGCGGTTACTCCGTCATGGCAGTTGCCACTCCGCCCAGACCTGTTCTCTCAGGACCAGGGTCGCCTCCTCCATCCCAACCCAGCAATGCTTGACCTCATGGCATGGCTGCTCAGCGGCTAGGTGGCGAGGAAAGGACATGCTCAGAACAGGTTCAGCGTGTCCTCCTCAAAAGTAGACGGCCCTCCACTCACGGCTCCTACATGGCGAAGTGGTCTCTGTTTTTGAGGTGGGCGGCAGGCCAGGTGTTTCCCCGACGGCCACCCCGATCCAGCTTTGCCTTGATTACTTCCTCCACCTGACGGCCCAGGGACTGGCGCCCTCGTCAGTCAGGGTATGCTTGGCAGCCATATCGGCCTTTCATCCCCTGGTGCAAGGGCACACTGTGTTTTCCTGTGCTATGACTGGCTGGTTCCTTAAGGGTTTGGACCGTCTCTACCCATATTCCAAGCCCCTGGTTCCACAATGGGACCTAAATCTGGTGCTGGCTCATCTCACGGCGGCCCCGTTTGAACCACTGGCCACATGTTCCTGGTCTCACCTCTTATGGAAGGTGGACTTCCTGGTAGCTATCATGTCGGCCAGGCGGGTCTTGGAGCTCAGGGCCCTAGCCTCCAAACTGCCATATATGGTTTTTCATAAGGACAAGGTCCAGCTCTGCCCACATCTCGCTTCTTCCTGAAGGTGGTCTCTGCCTACCACCTGGGTCAGGACATTTTTCTGCCCCAAGCCTCGCGACTAGTGAGGAACGCCGTCTCCACACGCTCGACATGAGGCGAGCTCTGGCTTTCTACCTCGAGCAGACCAAGCCGTTCAGAAAGTCTTCGCAACTGTTTGTCGCCTTGGCTGAGCGCGCAAGGGGCCAGCCGATTTCCACTCAGCAGCTTTCTAAGTGGATCACTTTGTGCATCCGTTCCTGTTATGAGCTGTGGGGGTTCCCCTGCCGCCCATTGTGAGGGCACACTCGACTCGGGCGCAGGCGTCGTCGGTTGCCTTCGTGGTCCATGTCCGCACCCAGGACATTTGTAGGGCCACCACGTGGTCTTCAGTTCACACGTTCACCTCGCACTATCCCATCATCTCCCAGGCCAGGGATGATGCCGGGTTCAGCAGGGCGGTACTCCGTCTTGGGAACTTGGGAACTCCTACCCACCTCCAACAGATATAGTTTGGAATCACCTATTGTGGAATACACATGAGCAATCACTCGAAGAAGAAAAGACAGTTACCTTTTCCTCTAACTGGTGTTCTTCCAGATGTGTTGCTCATGTCTATTCCACATCCCACCCTCCTTCCCCTGTGTTGGAGTTGTCTGGCAAGAAAGAACTGAGGGTGAGGGGAGCACAGCCCCCCTTATACCGTGTCAGGCAGGTGGCACTCCAGGGGTTGCGGGGGGGGGTTACTCCCCCCTACAGGTACTGCTAGGGGAAAAACTTCTGGCACCGGTGCACATGGCGAGCACGCACACCTATTGTGGAATATACATGAGTAACAGATCTCGAAGAACACCAGTTACGAAAAAGGTAACTGTCTTTCCCTTGCAAAGTTCTCCTCAAATTGTTCTATTATGCAGACAGGTCTCCTTGCTCACCCATGGAACAAACAAGGTGGGTTTTCCTGCTGATTCACTATCTGCTGAATTCACTACCCCCTGAAATAATAGAACTCTGTGCCTCTATGCTTTGGGATCCCTAGCTTTCACTTCTGATTCAGAAAGTGTGGCTCCATTGGAGCTGTGCTTCCCAGGCTTCCTCCACCTGCAGTTGCTCCTGGAAATGCTGATGAAGTGGGATTCCACAGTGCCAAATAGGAGCTACAGAAAAGCAAATGTAGTTTGGAGGTTGTGTTAATGGTTTTGCAGATTTCCTTCAGTGGTTGAATGTGTGTGTGTAGTGGTCCAAAGAGTTACATTTCCACAAGCTTGTCCCATTCCCACAAGTAGAAAGGAAGAGATTAATGTGCAGAGGGGTCTAAGGGAAAACAGTGCCCCCCCCAGCATTTGCCCAAAGGCCCCAATCCTGTAAGTACAAACAATAAAGCTAAGTGTGTGTGTGTAGGATCAGAACCAGTAGTCTGATAAACAAAAATCAAATTGCAGCATAAAAGGGTAGTAACAAATTATTTAAAACAGTTTTTTATGGGTAGTAGTGGTAAACTATAATCCAGTGTTAGCAGCGTTCAAAAATCATTCCTCTATTTTATTATGCAGGTGCTGCATAGTAAGTCAAAATGTCATTCAGTGACTGAGCACAAAGCTCATATTTTTGTGATGCTGGTGAGTTTTGATTTTCTGTGAAGGGAGCTCTTTCTGTGGAATAGACAGGAGTGATGCGTATACTTCACATGTAGTCAAGCACCACTAATTCTAACCCAGTTATTTCTCTTTTGAATACTGTCAGTGGATTCAAGAGTTTATCTTCTTAAGGGGTTTAAGATCTTTTCAGTGTTTGCAGTCTGTTCAATTTTTTGTTTTCTCTTACATCTGTGAGTGAACTTAGTGTTTACAAAAGTGATGGATTCATAACAGTGAAATGAACCAAGCATATAGTACGAAGGCAATGCATACGTTTCCCTGTGCATCTCTGTACTTCAAACCTGACCTCCTGCTATTTCAAGGGCTCTTTTCAGTTCAAGCAGTTCAAAATGTCAGTCAGGAGTCTGAAATGTTTTCCAACCAACACTGACCATTTAGAGCAGTAGTTCTCAAACTTTTTTTTTACTGGTGACCCCTTTCACATAGCAGGCCTCTGAGTGCAACCCCCTCCCCCGTTATAAATTAAAAACATGTTTTTATATATTTAACACCATTATGAATGCTGGAGGCAGAGCGGGGTTTGGGATGGAGGCTGACAGCTTGCGATTGCCCATTTAATAGCCTTGAGGGGCCCCAATGCCCAGTTTGAGAACCCCTGATTTAAAGGGCCATACTGACTGATTTTTATTTCACAAGGTAGCAGAAGTTATGTACCCTTTATGCAACTGGACAGCCCTCTTGGGGGACTGGGCCCCAGATCTGTACTAGCAGAAGCTGGCCCACATCCTGCCTGAATCAAGCCCAATCACTACAAATATAGTTTTAGTAGAGTGCTAAGGAGTTGTTTTTCTGCATCTCCTGCTTTTCTCATATATTATTAATTTATTTCAGTAGTTTGCATAAATATTAAGACTGAAATATTACAGGAGGCCTTTACATTACATATGACTACAAACTCAGTTCACTGACATCTAGACTCCCCTCAGGATGAAATAGGAGTGTGAAAGCAAGTAATCCCTTTGAAGTCAATGAACTGAGATTTTTTTAATTCACAGAGCAATAATGAATTACTGCCATAATTAGTTATTTTCACTGAATTCTGGAGTGTGGTTGGTGCCACAAGAGTTAAAAATGTGTCACTATTTTTATTGGAAATCTGTTTTTCAGAGGGTGTAAAAACTGAGGTAAATACTTGCTCTATATAGATCTCAGTCTAAAATGATTTTATAAAAAGTGATTTTAGTAGAGCAGTGCCAATTTACATCAGCTGAGGATCTTGCTCAGTATCTTTTTAAAAATAGGTTCCTCTTTGCATGGCCTGTGCACATTCCTGCTCTTGTCCTCACTCTGAGGATGTGAAGGGTTGGAAGGAACCTAAGAGTGTGAATGTGCAGAGGTCATCTCATAGCACTCTGGTTATAGGTGGGTAACCTTCATCTACTGAATAAAACACATTTTCCTACCTTTTTTTGTGTGTACTCTATATATGAATATTATGATAGCAGTATAGTCTATTTAGTGTGACTAGCTCTGAAGAGGTATCCTGAAGGAAGGGTAGTGATTCCATAATCAAGGTTCTAACTGTTTTTTCCAATTATATCAGCCTGATTTTGCCCCCAGCCTCCATAAAAAAATATCCTTTTAGCTGGAATCCCATAAATCTGATCTCTAAACAGAAGAGAATTTGGGGACGGTGTAAGGAGGTGAATTTTGAGGTTAATTAGTCATGACACTTCTGAGAAATGGCACTTTGAAAAATAAGATACATTTCACTTATTGATTTGTTTGTAGAAATCTTTTTAAAAGGTGGTGTAGAAACTTGACATATTATTGTCAGTAGTTGTGAATGAAACTTAGTCTTATTTCTCAAGACTCAGAAAAGGCATAAAGATTGACACAAAGAGATTCAATCACTGCCTAGAACCTGTCCAATCCTGATTTAACATGACTCTGCACAAGTGCAGGTCAGAAATAGGCCAAGAGGGAAGGGAAGGACAGGGTAACAATGAGGCATGTATGCATCTTGATAGTTTGGTTCTCTCCCCTTTTAATTATTATTGATTGGTTACCTTTCTTTTTTGCTTTCAGTAGTCTTGATAGAAATAGGTCTGTAAGAGAGATTTACATGTGGCACGGAAAGTGGCTTGGTGAATAAGTTTCAATAGGGCATTACAAGCATAGCAGACCATATGGAGGATAGCATGGAAATGCTTGTGGAGCATGCAACAAAGGGAAATAATATTTACAGATACCTCCCATATAAAGAAGTAATGAGAAATGACTCATATTTGCAATGTACTTTGACAGCCTCAGTGTAAGGTAATACAAGGAAGGAGAATATATTCAAAGAAGTCCCTTTTGTGTAATTCTGTCTCTTTGTAGAACATTGCCCATTTTATCAGCATCTTAGGTCTACCTCTTCTCTCTCCAAAAACTGCAGCTGTAGGCTTTGAGAGACAAGCTCCCTTTTGCAGCAAGACATTTTCAAGTTAGGTATATAATAGACTTGTATAGTAAGAACCATTCATACGAAAAAAGAAATGCTGTCATGATGGCAAAACAGCACTTCTGTTCTGCTCTTTTTCCTTTTCTTACACATATCAGAATACAAAACCTACATTCATCTGCCTATTATATTTGCAGGCCAAATGCTTGGAAAGTGAGAAGCATGGAGTTCTGAACAAAATAATAGAAGGGAATGTACGCTTAGGAAGATTAGAAGAGAAGGTTAGGGTAAGTAGACTTTGTAATTACCATTCTATATCTATTACAAGTTGCTTTCATTTAAAAAAAATATCAGTACTTAATCCATAGGCATATTTTTGTAAGAACATTTTATAGATATGTTTTTGAATGCATTTTAGAAGATAAATGGGGTTTTTAGCATATTTTACACAATAAAAATAAGTACTTTTCTGTTGTATATGTACACTGCTTTCTATATACGATCATAGTATTCTGATGATTTGTAAGTGCTACTGCAGATTGTAGAATGGTAAAAGTATAGAAATTTTATTTATATTTAATTTTTATTTTATAGGATATATCCCAACCCTTTTCTTTGGAACTTTTAAAAAGTCTGTAATAATGGGGAAAATTGAAAAATATTCTCAATCTAGAGTTTATTAAAATTAGAATTACAAGTATTGAGATGCATATGCAACTACTATCAAGGTGCATTCAGATGACCATAGGGTTGTACCTCAATTTCAGGGACTTTGGACATATCCAAAGATTTGACCTAATTCCAAAACACAGTTACAGTCTTATCTACTACACTGCTACATTTGTAGAGTAATTAAGTTAGAAATCTAAGTAACTGGGTGCCCCAACTTGGTTGTATACGTAGTGAAGATGGGTCCTAAGTATGTTATCAAAAGTATAGAAATAGCTATAAAAGTATGCAGTCACTCTCTTTACCATGGATATCTTATTAGTTTTTGCACTTCATTGCAATTTAATGGTAAACTTGTGTGAATTCTTTAGTACATTCACCTTTTTAACCTGTCTAGTATTACAGAAATTCTGTTTAAATATTTATACAACCTAATGTTTTTTCTATAGCACATACAGTTTTTTAACAAGTTTCTTCCTATATGTACAGTGAGATGTGATAGGATGGAATCAAGAATCCGCGTTGTCAAATTAATTTCTTCGGAGAATGAATCAGTGGTAAAAACCAGAACCCAAAGACCGCATGCTTATCCTAGGCATGCATCCTGTTACTTATAGGGTTCTTAATTGATAATTATTGTTTTTCTTAAATAATTGAAAACTTCTGTTGAGCTTTTAAGTCTTTTCCAATCTACTTTAAAATAAAGTCCGCACAACCCTTTCTGCAGTTTGACATTGTTAACAAAGAAATTATCAACAGTATAGTTCAGCTTAACCTTTTCCCTAACCATGGCTGCTCCTAGGGTCTCTGCTTCAGGCTGTTGAGCCCATATGCTAGACCCTTACTGTGCTCGTTGCTTCTACTGTGAGGGAGTCTTGTGTATGATAGCTGGGTGTTAGCTCTCTAATGCCACCAGCCTGTCAGCCCCTTAAGCACTCTCCTTCAGGCTATACCAGCCTTGTCTTTACCTTGCAGGTTAATAGGTGCAGCCCAGTTCCTGAGTCCCCTTGAAGCATTCCCCTGTGACATCCAGCCCCTGACACTGGCTATTCACAGATCTCCCAGATCCTCTGCTCCCAAATGAACAGTGTATCCCTATTTACTAGTGGCTCTCAACCTTTCCAGACTACTGTACCCCTTTCAGGTATCTGATATGTCTTGCGTATCTGTGATGGGGTGCGACTCACCACACTAGCACCTCCTGCTGGTCATCTTACAGATCAGCTCCACAAGTCAGTACGCTGACTCTCGGTGGTGTCTTGTCCACCATCACTTCCAGTCCTGGACCCGTGTTGCTCCAAGGGCTGTGGCCTCCTCTTCAGGACACAGCCCTCTGACTGTGCCACACACTGTGCTCCCCCCTTCCAGGGTAATGTAACCCAGTCCAACGGTCCAGCACCAACGGTCCAGTGGCAGGTGGGAGTGAGGGGGACCCGGGCCCGCCCACTACTCCAGGTACCAGCCAGGGACCCTGTAGATGGCAGCCATGTGCTGTGTAGCCTCCAACCTCTCAGTCTACTTCCCAGGGCCATTTCCGTGCAGCCCCAGCACCTTCTCCACTCTTATCTCAGTGCCTCAGCTTATCATCTTAGCAGTCAGCTCGCTCTCACTCCCCTCATTCTGCCCAGCACTGCTCTGTCCAAAATGCTAGCTTTCCTCCTCCTGCAAAGCAGCCGGTCCTCCCTCCTCGAGCACCAGGGAGCAACTGAATTTGCTCTGCCCTGCAGCTCTTTTTATATTGGCCTGCCTGGCTGTGATTGGCTGCTCCTCGCAGCCCCTTTTGTATTAGCTGCCTTTTGCACAGCTGCCGTAGGGCTCTCTTAACCCCTGACAGGCCAGTGTGGGGCGGCTACCCCATCACAGTACCCCCAAGTTACACCTCACTTAAAAACTACTTGCTTACAAAATCAGACATAAAAATACAAAAGTGTCATAGCACACTATTACTTTCTCATTTTTACCATATAATTATAAAATACTTCAACTGGAATATAAATAATGTACTTACATTTTAGTGTATAGTATATACAGCAGTCTAAACAAGTCATTGTCTTGTCATGAAATTTTAGTTTGTACTGGCTTTGCTAGTGCTTTTTATGTAGCTTGTTGTAAAACTTGGCACATGTGAGTTGATGTACCCCCGGAAGACCTTTGTGTAACTCCAGGGGTACACATATCGCTGATTGAGAACCACTACCTTAAATCACCACTTCTGGATAATGCACAGCACTTGAGAGCATTTATAATAAAACAAAAGAAGGTTTATTTAGGAGAGAATAGAGATTCCACTAAAAAGAAGAGAGAGTGATGGAAACAAATAGTTACAGTTTTGCAAAGGCACCTCCTTCACCTTGCTGGGTATGGCATTTCTCCCTTTGGCAGTGGGGGAGCTTGGAGTAAATTAGACCAACTCTGGAGAATTTTTCTGCTTCCATATTTACAAGGTAAGCCTTAGGGTAGGCCTAAGGAGTACTTTTCAGCCAAACAAAAAGAAAAGTTCATAACACAAAAAAGGGAATACCTTTCCCTCCTCCTTTTTTGGGGTGTTGTCTTATTATGATGGCCACTGTGAGCCAGTCCTTCTCCAAACAGTCCATTAGGGTGATTGCTTCCCATATATGGAGGAGAGCAGCCTTCCACTCAGGAGAAGCCTTTTGTCCTGATGCATCTTGTCTTCCATTTCTCCTCCCTCTCTCGCACCAGAAAAGGGGTTTTTAAAGGTCACAGGAAGCCCTTATTTAGACTTAGGTGTCCATAGTTTACCTGAGGTAACGTTTCAGCTCATGGGGAAAAGGAACTTTACCATTCTAGGGATAGTATACCTGCCTTCCAGCACTCTCGTACAGCTGTCTGGTTTGACTTTGTCACACAATGCAAAACAAAATCATAACACACACACACTAGGCCAGTGGTTCTCAATCTTTTGTACTGGTGACCCCTTTCACATAGCAAGCCTCTGAGTGCGACCCCCTTATACATTAAAACACTTTTTTATATATTTAACACCATTATAAATGCTGGAGGCAAAGCGGGGTTTAGGATGGAGGCTAACAGCTTGCGACCCTCCCATGTAATAACCTCCCGACCCCCTGAGGGGTTCCGACCCCCAGTTTGAGGACCCCTACACTAGGCCCTACTCTTAGTAGTAGTTACCTTTCCTATCTAATAAAGCAGGTTCTTCCCTGCCCTCCAAAAGTTCAGCATGTTGCAGAGCTGGCTGGATCCAACCTGTCATGAAATACCCCTTCTCCTCAGTGAGTGGATGCAGAGTGTCTTTGTCCACCCTGCGATATATTGAATCATTCTTTGTTCACAGACAGTGAATGGGCCATCACCAAGACAAAAGATTGCCTAGTGACTGACTTTTACTTTGACCATAAGGCATAATTTTCAATATAGTTATGTTATTCCTTAAATATTACCAGCATACACATCTCATAATGATTATGACTTGATAAGTTACAAGCTTTCTATAGAGGCCTCATATACTACCTTTCATGGATAAATACCATGAAAGCAGTGTATTAGGTGTAGTAAGTCAGGTCTGAGTCAGGAGTTCCTTGTAAAGAACTGTGAACACTTTGCCAACTGGCACCAGTGGGCCTCTGTCTCACAGTGTGTCTTTTGAGATCAACCCAGGGCTAGCCTTAGGGGTGGGTGGGATTGGCCAGCATATGCAGGGGGGTGCCTCTGGAGCAGAGGTGCCCCTCCTCCTCTGCTGCTGCCTGCAGCCACTGTTGCTCCTGTGTCCCCTCCCTCTGCCTTGGCCAAGCAGCTCGGGACCAGGAGCCTCCTGGCTGCTGTGCAGAGTGGGGTGGGGCAAATGTCAGGGAGTCCCGCTACCCATGTACCCAGTTTCCGTTGAGCTGGTGTGTGGGACAAGGAGCCTGTCTGTGCTGCTGCCTCTGGGTTAAGCATGGAAGCTGCTGCTTGAATAAGCTTTCAGGCTAGTGAGTTCTCTGCTTGAAGAGACAGTGCGCTGTCACACACACTTCCCCCAACACACACACATACTCTCACACTTCCCCAACACACTCTCCCCCCAACCCACTTGTATTATTATTATTGTTATTACTTCTTGGTACTTCCTGTCAAAATGCGCAATGCACATATATTCATTGTAATTTTATTCTTTCAAAGTTTGTTAAGGATTACAATACTATTTTAGTTTTTTGACTGGTGTGTGCATTTCATAATTGTATTTCTCACTTATGCTTAAATTTTATTCTTTCAGTAGTGAGCTCTAAAATGCCTAACCTGTCCTGGCTGATGTAATTATCATTATTACTTTTATTACCATATTGTGCTTGTCATTCATTATTTAAAATGGTACAATCAAATACTAGTATCCTTCTACAATGTAAATTTAGCTTGTAGTCACCTTAGCAGTACCAGTTTAAAAAAATTAGCTAAATACAACTTTAGACACTGTGCAGATGAAGGTTGCTCATTGTATTTTTAGTTATACCTGTAAAATAACTTATTCTTACAAAAATAAATGCAGTTCCAAGTATGATACTCATAGTAATGATGGTGTCAAATGTTAGTGAGTCACATACATGATTGTGATCAGTAAATATAAATGTCAAAATAATTAGAAAAATAAAAATAAATTCCT